ATTGCGGCATAAATTAACGTTTTATCGCGCTAAATTTTTGACATTTTTTCAAAGCGATTCTCATGTTATTTTTGCCTCATTTTCCATGGCGCGATACAATGCAAATCATATGGGTTTTTAGAAAATATGAGGGTTTTAAAAATGCATTATTTTCGATGCGATTCAAATGACAAAACTGGCTATTTTAACGCATCGAAATTTTGTTAAATTTTCAATGCGTTTTTCGAGACAAAACGTTTTATCGCATGTTTACCTTTATCTAGTTAACTCCTCCTGATGATGCAAACTTGGTTAACGAAAATGTGGCTTGGTGCCCATCTAACCGTAATCTTTGTTTTTCCTCTGTCGATGTATTCTGCATTTCTTCTTCTTCCATTTGACGCGCTGTACATGACAATGCTACTATTATTAACGAATATGTCGCTTAGTACCCTTCTGAACATAATCTTTGTTTTTCCTCAGTCGATGTATTGTAATGATGTAATGACGCATCTTGGGACATCCTGTACACATTGACGTCATGTTTTTTTTAAACGATGAGAAACCCTGTATATCTCGATGGCAACCATGTTTTAGCTTTGACGCTGGTAACCATGTTTTTTCTTTAATCCGATTTTTCATTCGTTATTTTTATAATTCAACATAGCCGACGTATTTTGAGACACCCTGTATACATTGACGTCACTAACACAAAAACGAAAAAAAAAACTTATTTTGAAATGTCATTGCTGAATACCCTCAATGCCCCATTTTCAAACGTTTCCCATTGGGATCGCACGCTAAAACGTTAGGCCTTCTGACATGTTTTTTCTTAAAATGAGACACCCTGTACACATTAAAGAATCACACGCCAAAACCATAGAGCCTCGTTATACTTTTTTTTTAAATGACGTATTTTGAGACACCCTGTACATATTGACGTCATGTTTTTTTCTTTAATCCGATTTTTCATTCATTATTATATCATTATTTTCCACGCTGACGTATTTGAAACACCCTGTACATGTTTTTTTTTTCCTAAACGATGAGACACCTTGTATAGCAGCCATGTATTTTTCTTTAATCCTATTTTTCGTTCATTATTAATATTATACCGTTATTTTCCACGCTGACGTATTTGAGACACCTCGTACATGTTTTTTTTTCTCAAACAATGAGACACCCTGTACACATTGAGGAATCACACGCCAAAACGATAGAGCCCCGTTAAACTTTTTTTTTAATGACGTATTTTGAGACACCCTGTACACATTGACGTCATGTTTTTTTCTTTAATCCGATTTTTCATTCATTATTATTATTATATCAATATTTTCCACGCTGACGTATTTGAAACACCCTGTACATGTTTTTTTCCTAAATGATGAGTCACCCTGTAAGGCAGCCATGTTTTTTTCTTTAATCCTATTTTTCGTTCATTATTATACCGTTATTTTCCACGCTGACGTATTTGAGACACCTCGTATATGTTTTTTTCTCAAACGATGAGACACCCTGTACACATTGAAGAATCACACGCCAAAACAATAGAGCCTCGTTAAACTTTTTTTTTAATGACGCATTTTGGGACACCCTGTACACATTGACGTCTTGTTTTTTCTTTAATACAATTTTTCATTCATTATTATTATTATACCATTATTTTTCGCGCCGACGTACACCCTGTACATGTTTTTTCCTAAACGATGAGACACCCTGTATGGCAGCAACCATGTTTTTTTCTTTAACGCCCGTGGCCACGTTTTTTATTCAATCCAATTTTTCGTTCATTATTATTATTATATCATTATTTTCCACGCTGGCGTATTTGAGACACCCCGTACATGTTTTTTTCTTAAACGATGAGACACCCTGTACACATTGAAGAATCACACGCCAAAACAATAGAGCCTTGTTAAACTTTTTTTTAATGACTCATTTTGGGACACCTTGTACACATTGACGTCATGTTTTTTATTTAATCCGATTTTCGTTCATTATTAATATTATAGCGTTATTTTTGTAATTCCACCGCTCTCTTATCTATCAAATGAATCTACTCGATGAATCTACTCCATCCTTCTATGCGTCGATCACGTCGCACACGTCTCTTTCCCACTCGCTACCACGAAAAGTGGATAGTGGGGGGGCGCAGTAGTGGCGCCCCTCCTACTCCCGTAGAATTTCATTCGAAGATTGTCACTAGTGTCGATTCAAAAACACACAACTACTGTTTCTCTCACGATGGATTCTTCAAAACTAATTAACTCCTGAAAACTCTTGCTTAATTAGTCTGTGAGCTCAGTGCTCACAGACTAATGGAGACAACTAAGACCGAGAATGACGTGGAGACAACCAAGTCGAGGCATCCGTCTACGAAAAAGGGACACAAAATGGCCGTCTTTGTTGTTGCGAGTGTGGTGGTGGGAAATTTCACACATGATTGATTTTATTAAAATTATTCTTTTGTCAGGTATCGCGCATTTTTGGATAATTTGATATATTAGAGAAACTCTATGAGGAGGGTTTTCCCTTATTTTTTCATACTTTTTTTTATAATTCATATCAAGGCCTTTATTAGAAAAAGCTTATGTATTTTTTTTCACAAACTTTTGGTGCATAGTTTTTTCTAGTAGTTTTTGTTAATTTTCATAGGAATTTTCTAGTAAAAATATTTCATCAGGAAAAGTCCTACGAAAAAAAAGAAATACAAAAAAATGCTAAAAATTACATGATATAAAATTATCGGAATCATATTCAATATTGAAGTAGGTACTGAAAATTATAAATAATATATTTATTAGTATAAAAATATAATTATGTATAA